AGGAAACTGGAACAAATAAATGGAAAACTGAAGAGGATTTGGAGCAGGTGACTTGTCACTCTTAATGATATGTAATGTTTGGAATGAACAAATTAAGTGCCTATTAACACATTCCCCCTCAACGTAAACCAAAAATAAGCATAGACAAAGATGTGTTTTACAAGTTAACAGACCATGAAAGAAACAAACCAACGCAGGTATTTTAATTTTAAAAAAATAGTTGGATGAAGATAGACGAAAACAGCTTTAAATATGATGCTTACAAGTACCTGCAGATTAATATTCAAGATGGATACATACCTTGTTATTTTTGTTAGATACCACTTATGAAAAAAAAACTTTAAACTTTCAGTGAACCAAAAGGACTATTTGCTTAAATGTAACATTCCTCAACATAAATCTGTAGAGAAACTATTCAAAATAGTAGGGAACATGACGAACACTGGCATATGGTTATAATCCCTGAACAATGATTGTTAATGGCATTGTATGTGGTAGTTACAATAAGCAGTTATAAGTTTGAACACTGGCATATGGTTATAATCCCTGAACAATGATTGTTAATGGCATTGTATGTGGTAGTTACAATAAGCAGTTATAAGTTTGTAGAAAGAGTGCATACTTGTATGTGTACTGGTGCTAACAGTGGGGGGACAAAACGAGTCTTAATTTTGTTTGTGCTGATACAATTGTTTTATGTATTTTAAAATATTAACATGTTATCATTCAGTTTCTATTTAACCCTAATATTAACATGTTATCATTCAGTTTCTATTTAACCCTAATATTAACATGTTATCATTCAGTTTCTATTTAACCCTAATATTAACATGTTATCATTCAGTTTCTATTTAACCCTAATATTAACGTTATCATTCAGTTTCTATTTAACCCTAATATTAACGTTATCATTCAGTTTCTATTTAACCCTAATATTAACATGTTATCATTCAGTTTCTATTTAACCCTAATATTAACGTTATCATTCAGTTTCTATTTAACCCTTTTGAATTGTCCAGTTTTTTTTAAATGAACTCAAAAATAGGTTTATTTTGCTTTTTGATGGCTTATACTTAATATATTAATAAAACAAAACAAATTATTTTATGTTCTGTTATTACATTCTTGCACAAAATG